AATTGACATCCAATTTATATTCACATGTTCACTAGTCTTTTCAGAAGAGTGAAATTATTTGCCTATAGTGAAATTGTGTTCCACGTGTATACAGCTCAGTTTAGTCATAAAGATTACCTTGAATTTTTGGAGAAGTTGCTTGATTACTTCTTCAGTTCTCATGTTACTGTTTATTCTGACTTTAGTTTCTGATCCAAAGGCTGGGGTGAAAATTGATGTCTAGGGAAAAAAGTCTTGTAAGTCCCTAAAGTCCTATCAAACTAATAGTAGTATCTTGAACCTAAAGTAAGCAGAATATAGAATTACTGAAATGATATTATTTAAATGGATTTCATAGAACTCTCAAATAATTATTGATTTAATATAGTTCTAACTTTATACTAAAGATATTCTAAAGTCTTTATTAATTCTTATAACAATGATAAAATTAATTTAAAATTCTGTGCTACAACTATAACATGTTCAAATTAACAAAAAGAAGCAAGAGTGAATGGGTACTCACAGGTAAGTAGCTCATAGTAATGTATGCCTCATGACACCATCTTGGGAGAAACACAACTATGTGTGGTGCAGCATAACAAAGGGAAAACTTTTTACTCATTATATAGAAGAAAATAAAAAATGATGTCATGAGATGTACATTTACAAAGAAAAAATGATATGAAGTAAAGATCTGTTTCCATGTTTCACTTATATATGCAATCTCCAGGTGTTCCAAAGCTTACTAGAATGAGGGTGGGTCCAGATGTGAAGATGCTGGCTTTTGGGTTGGGTCACTGGAATGTTAGATTAATGAGCCTTGAACTGGGAGATTACTATAAATATAGATATAGATATAGATTTATGGTATGCATATGCCATTGGTATAAGAAAACAATCTGGATATGTAGACGATCTTCCTGGGAAGATATAGGGAGGATGTCTGAGACAAACTTTAGTAAGCTTGAGAAAATTCAATCTGGACCTTGGATTGTACATGGATGAGTCACTTGCTGCCACAAATGAGCAGAGTTCATGAGCTCTCTGGAGAAGCATATGTTCACCCTATAGTAAGCTGAGATGAGGCCCTATTAGATGTGTAGTCTGATGTTTATGTAATGAAGCTTCATGGAGTACAACAACAGTACTAGATTAGGATTCAGAAGACCTATGTTCTAGGGTCAACACTGTCAACTCACTTTATACCTTGAAGTTTCCATTATTTCACTGATGAAACAAGACTTGGGTTCTGGAGCTAGACAACTATGGATTCAGGTTCAGAATTCTTAAAAGCAGTATGACCTAAGACAAACTGTTTGACCTCTGTGAACCTCAAGTAACTTATTTGTAAAGAGAAACATTGGTTCCTAGTTCATAGGACAGTTTTAGTGATTAATAACATAATTTACTACAATCTATTTAAAAAACTTTAATAGCACATTTAGAGTGCTCAATAAATGTATGACTACCATTGTTATTACTCTATTAAATTTTAAACTGAACTTAGTGGTACAGCAGTTAGTACAACAAACAACATGACATAGATCACATTAGTGGAATTGTAACTCACTTTATGGTTATAAAAGTGTCCATTAATAGAAGCCCTGTGAAACTGTTGTTCTTTTCTATCTATCATTGGAGGCTTTGTTCTTTTTCTCACCAGGGCTGCTTCACTCATACATCTATAGAGCAATGGGGATTCTGGCTCTTCATCTGCATATAGCTTCAGAGTACTGCTGTGGTAAGATAAATAGTCTGGAGAGAATAAAAGTTAAAAGCCAGTATTATTTCGCTGCCTATCTTCTTGCATCCTGGATAGATTGGTATATAGTTTTATTAATTTTAGAACGATTGTCATTTTCAAGATGTTTAAAAGCATTACCATCTACTACTTGGTAATACATATACCCACATATTCTTTTATTTCTCTCCTTATTTTTATTTTTTATTTTAAAGAGAATAAAAAAATAGCAAAATAACAACAACATGGACAAAAATAAAACAACATAAAAACAATAAAAATGATACAGGATTTCAAAACAAAATGATAGGAATTAACAGTGGTTGTTATATTACATATATTTTTTTTGTTTGTTTGTTTTTCTCCGGTACCGGGAACCGAACTCACAACCTTGCGCTTGCCAGGCAGGCGCTTTTGCTGCTGAGCTAAATCCCCAGCCCCAGGCAGGCGCTTTTGCCGCTGAGCTAAATCCCCAGCCCTATATTACATATTGTTACCTTCTGTGAAGTTGTTTAGATTACCAGATATAAGATTCTATATAATACTGTCTGAGATTGACTGGACAGCAAATTCTATGAACTAAGTCTCAGGAAATTATCACAATGAGCTTATGTTTAAGGTTTGAGCACTCTTTCAATCTGGATTTATTGTGACCGAGAGGTGACTTATATAGACTTTCAGAATCAGAGCTAGCAAAAACATAATATTCTGTCAGTGTGATCTCACACAAGCAAGACAAAGTACAGTATTTGAAGTAGCTTGTTTATGAACATAGTACTTATAAATGATGGGATCAGGTCAGGATCCTTGTTTTTCCTTGGGTTCAAGGTTACTGGACTCTTCCTTAGAAATGAGTATTAGGCCAAAGCCATCTATATGGTATGCAGAGCCTTAAATGATTTTGTTCCCGACTTTTGTGAAAGCAAAAGTGGCAATATACTTTGTATAGTGCCTACTAATAACAGATGACAGGGACAATTCATGGCATATTTTTTATCACACACTTCAGGGATGTGGTGATTTTTCCCTTTACTTGACGATCATCCTATTGCTTCTTCTCAGTGGGACATATGTATTCAACAGTGACTCATAATCCACTATTCAACATTAGGTGACTGTGTCATTCCATCTTGCATAGCAGGTTTTAGAATATAAAATTATAGTACATTATTGAACTGACCTGCTATCTTTTGGGTGGGTATGGAGTGTTTAATGAAAGTGGGTTAGCTACTATGTATTTCTAAGCTGACATGCAAAAGATTCAAAACTGCCTCCTGCACCTTTTCTAATTTCCTCAATTAAGTGTTTTCTTCTGTAAGAATAAGGCCATCTGGTGGCATTTGTGTTCTATTTTACTTTGAGATTTTAAATATTATTCTATTGTATTTTAGAACAGCATCATATTTCATCTTTCTCTAGTACTGGTGATTAAATACAAATAGATTTTTATCTTTGGTGCCAAGATTTGGTGTTTCCCCAGGTTTAATGGGTATCTTCAGGGGGTACAGTTGAAAAAGCCTATACAGTACATAACAAGAGGTCAAGATCTCATTAGACAAAGATAAGGGAACTCTGAAGGAGTATCATGTTTGCTATGGGATCTGAGTTCTCATGGAGACAGCAGAGAGGCAAAATTGAGAAATGTTTGAAACAAAAATAAAGAGTAACATTAGAAGTCTTTGTTTTTTTTTGTTTTCTTTTAATTTTAAAAATAAAAGGAGGAAAACATTAACTGACAGACAACCTTCTACAAAATAGCAAAAGAACAGTACAGACAATACAGAGTTACAAACAAAGTGGTAGGAAATTAACAATGCTTCTTGTATTACATATTGGTATCTTCAAAGTGGTTTCTCATGAAAACAGATAGAGACATGCAATATTGATCAATCAAGGACTCATTGACAGTTT